CAAACGGAGACACGTCTACGCATATGGAAGCTCGTCGTAGCTTAAAAATAGACACGCTGCATCGTTCGCTCGATCTTTTACCGCCGTATCTCCGTCGGTCCGATTTTCCTCTTTCCGCGAGACCGCCCCGCCGCTCGTGCGTTATAACCGACACGATTTCAATAAGTGATGTCAACTTCTTTCCTTTTCCCCGAGGAGGGGAAACGAAACGATATCGTTTATACGGGGTTTGAACAACAAGAAGGTCGGCGAACCGTGCAAAAGTACTCACAGCGTTGCCGTTCAATCACCGGGACGAAAAAGTGACATAGTGACTGCTTCTTGATAGAAAAGGTGATAAAAAAAGTGACCTCTGAGGTATCAAAATAATAACTAAAAGTGACATTTTTGTCCAATTCTGAAAGTAACTAGGAGCATTTGAGCAAAACAGTAAGACTTAAGATTGCATTCCCAAGTCTTTGGATAACTTAATATACAGCGAGTTTTTTTCATAGTACGATTTGAATGTTTGTAACAACGGAAGACCAAGGACATGAACAATGCAATACAAATATGCTTTCGGAGCAGTTTTGTTAAGAGAGACGACGAAAATATATGTCCATATTTTACAAATTTAATTGCAGCTCGGGAAAGAAAGTCACTACGACGGTGCATTTTGAACGATAGTGAATTTTTTAGTGATAATAAAAAGTGACTAAAGGTGACTTAAGCGACTGGATGGCAGCGCTGTACCCATGTAGAGTTTCATCGTACAGAGTTCGGTAAATATAATTGTATCAATCGGATTTGTATGTTGTCCAACCAATACTCGAGGTCTGTTGACCTGTTTCATAACTCTTTGAGTTCTTTTGACATTAATTTAATTCGTACTCTCTTGTCTTAATTGCACTCAATTAAATTGTTATTCGACGCTTGCGTCACTCTGTATAAACTTTTTGTAACGATTTCTACCCGTTAACAAATGGAAATAATAATAATAAAAAAACACGCCTCGCGTCCAAAATTTATTTCCCGATGTTAACATTTATCGCAATTTATCGTGACTTATCAGCGATCTTGGCTATCTTGGCGATAGTTAAAATGTGCGCGATGCGTCCGTGGCAGCTCTCGCCGCACGTCCTTTCATTGTTGAGAATTTCGTAATTGCAAAGCCTCGTGAGAAGAAAGATAAGATAGAACCGCGAAAATAAGAGATCGGCAGACTTGTAAATTCATTGCACGCTTTTGAGATTCGCTATCGGTGGCTATAAACACGTAGCGTACACTACCGATGTACTTTCGTTCATTTCGCTTTAAAACTACACCGGAGAATTAACGATTAAAATTTATCTCCCATTTCGGCGACTGTTTTACTTTAGAGACTCGGGGCCAACTAAACCTGTTCGCCGAGGCGGACTTTGTAAGCAAGATCGTAGCTGATGATCAAAGTGTGCGACCACATGCTCGCTTGGAAAATTGGTGGAAGTACTTGCGTGAAAATCTTGGCACGGCGATTGCCCTGTCGTGCCAAGAATGCATGACCTCTGAGTCCCTCAGTGACCCTACTTCGACCAACTACGATCAACTTCCGAACTTTTCCCGAGACGTGCCCGACGATCGAGTGTGAACTACGAATAAATCCATATTGCGATCCAATTCGCCGAAAATTTCCACAATCAAATTTCCCATCGCTAAACTCACGAAGAAAACTCTTCACTTTCGATCGTTCGACTTTCAGATCGTATTTACAATTTGTATTTTTCCGACGTAGCGGGAGAGTTTCTTTCTTGGAAATTTCAAAGCCTGGAAAAAATCTCGCCGCGAAATGCACGAACGCGTTTCTGAAACACGAGTCTTTCTTTTTCAATCGCTTCGTCGAAAAATTCCTTGGCTCGATATTCCCGCTGAGAAAAATGAAAAACGGCTCGAAACTGATCGAAGAAGACCTCGTCGTAAGGACGAACTCGAGTCTTCCGAGACATTCCGCGCGCAACACGGAAGCGAATAAAAATCACTTCTAACGAGAGGTGCAACCTCGGGAGAGGGTCGCATCCGGGGGCCGAGGTTTGCGCACCGCTGCGCCGGTGGAATCACCGCAGTCACTACGGAGCGTGCTCAATTTCCTGTTGACCTATTTATAACGCGCCTCCTATCCACGGAGAAGCCGGCATACTTCTCAAGGTCCCGGATTACTCGGCTGACTCGGCGTTGTACAGCGGGGCGTACAGCCGTCGTCGGATTCCGCATCGGCGCGTCGCACCGCCGCTACAATCGCAAAATTGCAGCCCGCGCGAAGGAGCATATCGCGAAAACTGGGGCAGCTTTCCGGCTGCTTTTGCAGCCAACGCGCGCTGGCCGGTGTTGCAGATAGATCGATAGACGCGTGCGTGAATCTCCGGCGGACGCGACTCACCCGACAACGGACTCCGTCGATCAATTTTGCGAAATTGCTACACGCTCTTTCTCGAATCAACGAGCCCGTCCCTGTTTCGATAATGATTCGTCGATAAAGCGATGTGATCTGTTTACGTACATTTCGGTTCAGCGAGACATTTCCTTGCTTGGACTCTAATTGGCGTAATTTACCGTTGTATCTGTCGCCAACCTCTCTCTCTCTCTCTCTTTCTATATATATATAAGAGAGAGAGAGAGAGAGAGAGAATGTTGTGCGAGGAAATCAACAAACTTCTAAAATCTGTTCTTGAGGTCATTTTAAGCAAAAAAGTTTAGATATATCATAGATTATTTATCGAGATATAGACAATTATTTTCTTAATATTATGACAAACGAAAAATATCAGACGGACGTGGACTGTGTGCGTAATCAGAACATGAATATTAATATTAGATATGAAAATATTATTATGTTTTATTAGCAGGAAAATACAAATAAATACGTTCATAAAGCTCAACAATAATAATTTATAATACTAGATATTTAATAGCTCCATATGCTAATTTGAATACTTTCCCGACAAATTAAAATTTTTGAAAAGTCAGAATCAGATTCAGCAGCTCAAAAACTACAAAAAAAAATACCGTTTTACTTGCCACTTCAGGGATCAAAATCGGCCTATTTTATCCACCGTCCTTTGCCAACTGAAATCCATAATTATTTTGGGAGATCAGACTGGGACCTCAATTAGATCCTAAGAAATTTTCCACGCCAGCGTAATATTCTTCGAGTAATTTGGAAACGAACACGATGTTTTTCTTCGCGAAAAATCGCATTCGCGGAGAGAAAACCCCGGAGACATCGATTTTCTTCCTTCGCATAAACGCGTTATATAAAAATTTCAAGGTGTTCCGAGATCAGTCGGGAAAAATGAGGTCAAGGATGAGACCCTTTGATAATTACGCGCTCCTGCTCGCCGCGAATGAACACAATGATTTACGTAAGAGCTGTCGTGACACTGTTCTTAAGTCGTCGCGACGTCTTCTACACTCGCAACGTAAACGTCGCGTACAAATTACGCGAGAATCCACGAAATCCCCGCTGCCGAGAAGCGCGTCGGCATGACGAGCGTCGGACAATTCACGCTTCTCGAAGTACTTTTCGGTCGTTAGAAAATTCTTCTTTATTGCGTAGCATCCTCCTTATCTCGTTACCGCGGAACGATGTATCGTCGGCGGTATAAATAGAAACACCGATTTCCCGATGGAGGTACATTCACACAGGCAGTTTCCTGCCTCTTATCGCGCGGTACCGCTCAATGGAACTTTATGGACCGTAAAGACCGAGGGGAGGAGGCGGATCCTCCTCTTGTACCCTCGATTGACTCACGATTTTATGAAATACCCGACGACGTTTCATTTTCCAACAACTCGATCTCGCTGTACACGCGGCAAAATATTGAAACTATCTTCGCAATTTGAGAACGGCGTGTAGCTGTTTTCCTGTAGTAGTAATACGGAATATCGGCATATCGCGACGGACGGAAAAACATCCTCCGCACGGGTTTCCCCTTTTCGCAATCGATAGAATTTAATAGGGCTGAAGACCGAAGGAAGGGCGGATCCCGGATCGGCGGGGCACGTATTCGACGGATTAATTCGGGAGATGTTCTCGAGAGGCCGTGTAGGGACAAAAAAAGAGAAGATGTCCGATTGCTCGTTACCGACGAGTAACCGCGTGATTACGAGCGGAATTAATTTCACATGACTGCGCGCTCATGCCAGCGGGCAGGCGTATCTAATCTCCGCGATATTAATCTGCAACGATAACGCATTCCGCACCGCGCCATCGGTATCGAAAATATCCGTTTCGAATCGTGCGATTGTTCACGAAGAAGAGCGAGAATGAGTAGGAGGACGCGTCGACCGTCCGACAGCGAGTGCTTTCTAACGTTTCTAACGAGATCGAGTGTCTCGAAATCCGATGGCAACTTCGATGAGTGAATGATATCGGGGACCTTTGTCATGCCATTTAATAGAGAAGTACGACTTTATCTATCTGCAAATCGACAAGATGTTCCTACAATTCAGCGCGATATTCAAAGTAATAGAGATATTTCGCTCTGTGTAATGCCTGCCACGGAGGAAAAAGTTTGGGTTGAACTAATGTGACAATGAACGAATGCGCTTTAATTGACGGGAACGGAATTTTTGGTTCTCAATTAAATTCGGTTTCTTATAACCATAAAATTCCGTTTCCTTCGACCAAAACGCTTTCGGCTCATCGTCAGTTTAATTCAATCGAATTTTCTTTCTCCCCGTGTGTATAATAATTCTTATATAATATCTACTATCCCATAAAAAAGCGATTGTTAATATAGTAATCAGCAACGTTGTGAAATCTCCGAAGGATTTTGTGAAAATGCCATCGAAAAATAAGTCTTAAACATATTCCCCTCACCTTGCACCAAGCTATGCGCGAAAAGGAGCTCGTGATTTCTCTCCTTTCAGCGGTACTGCGAATTCCCTAATTTCTCATTACAATACTCTCCCTCTGTTTACACTCATTACTCTCTTCTCTCCTCGATCTCTTTTCTCTACTTTCTCTGAATGAAATCGCTGCTTACCTTGTAGACCTCCGAGAAGAAGCCGGCGCCGATCTTCTCCATGTAAAAGTCGTCCAGGCGATTGAGCGAGGCGACGGCGTGCCTGAGCGCTTGGCAGGACGCGCCGGTGCGCCTCTTCGAACTCGAGTCCTGATACGCCTCGCACACGCTCAGCCCGTGCACGCCGCCGTCCATCTCCGTGGGTCGCCAAGGGTCGCGGCACTTCTCCCTGTAGCTGCGCGGCGAGGACGAGCGCAGTTCGGTCGGCAGGTCTTGCGGCGGCGGGCAGGACGCGCAGTTCTGTTGCGACGCGTCGTTGTTTACCCTCGTCCAATCCTTGGACGGCGTCGAGGTGACGAAGTCGGTGCCGGCGCAAGAGTCGTCTTCGCCGGAATCCTTCGCCGAGTCTGCCGACGTTCTCGGCGAGGACTGCTGATGCGCGCACAAATCGCTCGGAAGGTTGGACGCGTCACTACTCGTCGAGGACGCGTCCGCGAAAAGATCCTCGTTGTCGGGCCTCTTCCCGCTCAGGGGCGGGTGAATCATCTCGGAAGATCTCGCGGAAGATAGCTTAACGATCGTCGAAGCGGCGTATCCCTGAGAGAACTTGAGCTGCTGCTGCTCACCGCACGTCGTTCTGCTCGCCACCACCTCCTTGCCGTTCGCGGATTCGCGAGCGACGACCTTCTTCGCGGCTTTCGCGGAATCCCTCGGGCACGAGGATTCAAGGGTGCCGAGGGTGCCGGCGATCGAGGTAGATTGCAGCTTCCGCGACCTGCCGGACGTCGCTACGGTCTTGGAGAAACTCGCGCAATTCTGCCCGGAGGCCGTCTTCGTGCCGACATTGTGACTCCTGCTGATCTGCTGAGCCGCTTCCTTGGCCGTACACTTGGCCGACATCGTCTTCAAGCAGGCGGCGGCGCAGGTGGTCGCCGCCTCGGTCCTGCAAGGTCTGGGAAGCTCCGCCGCGGACGACGATTCCGGGGTAGCTGGCGGTTGCAGGGTGGTATTGCAGGGCGCCTCGGAGACCACCGGCTCGCCGACGACGACATTGTCCTTCGGCCGCCAAGGTCTCGCCTTGTCGTCGGCGACCACGCTCGGTGTCTCCTCCGTCGAGAAACACGGCAGGCATGAAGCCGTGCCAGCCGGTCTCGCGCACGACTTCGGTGTCATCCCGTTAGGCGGACCCGGTGTGTTCGACGGCGGCACCTTCCCGAACATCTTCGCCGTTATTGCGGCGAGGTCGCGCAAGCTGACGCGGGGCAACGGCGGCCCTGCGTGCGCCGCATCACACGCGGCCGGCTCGACGCACCTCTCGACGGTCGTTGTCGTCGTCACGGCGTCGTCCCGCGGTGTCCTGCGACAAGGAGTCAGTGGGGAGGGCTGCTCGAGCGAGCGCGGAGACCTCACCACGTGGGAGTTCAATGACGAGTGAGAAGGTGATGAGTCTCCTCGGTTGCGTTTGGCTGTCGGCCCGGATGAACGAAGCCGTTCGCTTGGATGCGACGTGGTCAACGGAGCACGTTCGCGATCTGACCGTGCTCTCGAAGCCGGGCGTCGCGACGTCTCGGTCGGCGGGAGGATAACGGAGGATTGGTCCTTCCTCGTTGTTTGTTCAAGTCGAAGGAAGAAGTGGAACGTCCTCTTGCTTCAAAGGACGGGTTGGAAAGCTCGCGGAAGACGTGGAGGTCTCTCGAGGCGAGGGAGAACGAGTCGTGTATTTCTGGCGCAACGTGGAAGACACTCGTCCCCTCTCGAAACAGATCGGAGGAAGGCGGAGAAGGAAGCGGAAACCGGGAGAGACCGTAAAGAGCGAAGACACGATCGGCGCCGTCTGTGTATATCTTATTCCTTTTCTTTTCTCTCTCTCTTTCTTCCTTTCGTTCGTTCTTTCTTCTTTTTTTGGCAGTGACGTGTCGCGCGTCGAAATCACAGTCGGTCAAGCGAACGTTATCCTGGGGATGGCGATGCGCTCCGTCAGGACCGTCACGTTCGAGGCGCGCCGAAAGAACGCGGGACTTGGCACGATACTTTTCTTCTCCTCGTCGCCGGCTGATTCGGGTCTTTCTGAAACAAAATCACGTCCGAGAGCTGAGGGGCGATTCGTCGAATATTTCGATCGCCAGGATGGCGAGAGGGAAACATATTTCCGTGCGGAGCACGGGCCATCTTTACTGTGATCACACTGTGAGAGAAAAAATATCTAAAATATAAAAAAACATTTATTCGATGGCTACTAATAACACACATTTAGTTAAATCTAAATTCTTTCGTTTAAATGTAGAACGAACAATTTGCTTTCATGAAAAGCTACAGATTTAAGAAAATGTATATTTAGTCATTTGAACATTTCTTTTCAGTATAAAAATATGTGTATTAGTGTAATAGGTTCGCAAAAGAAAATGAATTTTAAAATTTCCTGACTTTTCCATGTTTTCCAGGCGACGGTGGAGAATTTTTCATACCAATACGTAATCTTAAATTTTAACGTTTAGAAGCAGGAATTGCAGGAAAGGTAGTTTACATTATTAGAAACACACACACAACACAAACTAGGAAGTTAAGTAATATAATATAATCCTAAATGCAAATTCAGACCAACAAAAAATTAATGATTATTGGGAAAAAAAGGCACTTATGACGGAAAAAGATGACTGTACGAAAACGGTGAATAAAATTGACCAATTACATTCGATTATGCCTTTTACGGTCGAGAAATAATCGGCTGTGATTAGTCACAGTTTTCTTACTGCGTTTTTCTACGCGCTACAGTCCCAACACGTAAAAAATTATTTGCAGAATACGAATTTTAAACGCATTTGACTATAAATGTTGGATATATTAAAAAAAAATTATAGATTATAAGTATAATTATTCTTAAATTATAAATATTTTTTAGAAGAACATTTATATAAAGGAATTGTGAGCACAGTTCAAGATTCCAAGCTCTTTCGTATCTTTCCTGGAATTCTTCCGGAATTTTTCTTCACCAATTTAAATTTTTATGTTTTTTCCCGATTTTCCCGGTCGGTGGTAACTCTAATAATGTTATCAGTATCCACCGGAAAAGTATGTTTGACTTTTTAGATATTTTGTCTCAGTGTAGTTTTCATTTTCTGCCCTTTGTTGTAATGCGTTCGTCCGTGTAACGCTTCACTCGATCGTAATTTTACTCAACGCGGAAGGGGAAGAAACAAGCAAACAAAGAAAAAAGGGAAAAGATTACTCCGCGGGAGACAAAGTGTACGGCTTGTGTTTTGACCTTTAGAGCGGCAACCGGTTTCGAGGTGTATTTTGAGGAATCGACAAACATGATGCGGCACTGTCTCGCAATGTTATAAATCACGAGTAATTGGAGACGATTTTCCGTTCGTGTGGCAGATAATCGTTTTCACACGCGGGGAACATCGCGCAGATTGATCGCGCAGCCGTTGGTCATTAACGTCAAGGTTTTCTCCGGCTTTTCTCGGATGTCTCGGATTTGCGCTCGCGGTCACCCGAGTAACGGGAGAACACAGCGCGAACTGCATGGATGTGTCATTTATTACAAGAACAGTGGCAACACATCTCGGCGGGCAATCACGAGCGAAACGCGTCGGGTTGCTCGCGCGTTTCAATAATGCAAGTGCTCTCGTGCCGAAATGGTTATTGAATTTACACGAACGTCCGTCACCCGAGGGCGATTTCGCGAGCCGTTGAAACTTGAGAAACTGCCCGGTCGAAATCGGAGAAACCGTCACTTCTGAGTCGCCGAAAATTATTACGGCGAAACATCGCTCTTCGAGCGACCCGGGTTTTGCTTTCTAGATTCGAGACGCGCCGAGTTTAAATTTTTTATTGCAAAATTACAAACATCTCTCCCCGGCAGAACGCACGAGAAATTTCCAAACAGCTGCTTCGTGTGCGGAGCCGGGCGGTCTTTAAAAGCGTGCGAGTGTCACGTTTCAAGTTTAGATCGAAGTGAGTGAAAACTGACTTTTTACCGGACGCCCATCTGCGTCAATGACACTGGCGATTAATATTGTTTTTGCGCACGCATGCGTCAGCAACACACTCGCGGGAGGGTTAAGGACTGTTCGACGAAACTGCGTCAAAGTGATCCTCAGCACTGCTACAAGAAGCCACTGCACAAATATTGCATTACTCGTATAATTTTAGATGTCTATCAATTGTCTTTTACATCATTGAAGAATATCCTGCATGAAGTGAACAGAACTCATGTTACTGCATTTGTCATTAGCGATAAATAACAAGTTACCGAGTTTCCTCGTGCAACGAGGAATCGACTGAGATCCGACTAAAGTCAAGCCCGCGAAATAACCGTCACAAGTGTTCGATAAAGCCGAGCGTGCCGCATTCACGTGACGCGTTTTACCGCATTGTCACATATACAATTACGACACGGGATACACGGAGTGCGGGTTAGCGCATAATCACGTGCGCTGGGTGTCTCATAAATGTCTAACGTTCGTTGGATATATTTCCTAGAGGCATTTCCACGGAAAGAGCGCCTCGTGCCTGGAGATATTCGTCGTGTCGTGAGCAACGGTAGCAAAGAAATGGCCGGGCCTGGCCAATAAACGATAGTTGGCACTTCGCACGTGTCGTATCTCGATTCGCGCGCGAAGGTTAAACGAAAAGATATAAAATGGAAGTTACTTCGTGTATGTGTGTGTGTGTGTGTGTGTGTGTCGGATAAATTCACACGAAAGAGAGCTCGTTTCGGACTTTAATCCGCGCGGTAAGTCGCAGATAAAACGTCTAGATTGCCCGAGTCACGGATCACAGATAAAATCGTAGATAGTGGGTGCTCATTTAACGGATGTTGGAGCACTCACACAAGTCTATTGTACACACAGATAAAAGCCATCTTCACGTGCCGGCTCGTTAGCTGATACTCGTGGGGCAAACATACAATCATTCATCGCTATCGTCGTCGTCGTCCTTAGGACGCGTCGAAGAGGAAGCGATTTGCAAGCAATATCACTTCCGAGAGCAGCTCCATACGCGACGCGTAAACATAGTTTCGATAAGCAACGAAGTCGGTGTGCGTAGCTACGTGGGGCCGCGTACGCGTCGGGCTGGTCTTTTAATTAGCGTCACGGAACAAAACTGCGAGCTCTCGCTCGGGAAACGAACAAAAGCAGCCAGACGAGAGTTAATTGTAGTGCTAATTATTGCTAATTACCGTTAACCACCTCCTCATTTATTCGTTTGCCTCGAAACTTTTGACGTTTTCACGTGCGTCGTGTAACTATCAGTTAGTAGTATTGCATGCGCGACACGTTGTTGCTCTCGGGGAGAGAAAGAGGGTTTAAATATCCGTATATACTCGTATACGCGCGAGCGAGATATGTATATCGGGAGATTTAAAAGTTTTCCAATATTTTTCACGCTCTATAAATTCGGTCGTTGCAAATTTGCGCCAACTCGGCAGGTGTGCAGGGGTATGTGTATGTGTGTATGCTATGTCACGTCAATGATTAAGGATGTATTGTCTGTTAATACCGTATTTTCACTGATGCATAAAAAAAAAGTAACGTATTCATATAACATTTATCGAGCAAAGTTACGTTCCTGTACATTTATTTCGTTACTTAAATAATAAGTATAAATTTGAAACGAAGTTGAGGTAGACATATATATAAACAATATTACAAATATGGGATTACTATCATCAGTTGGTCTAATAAAGATGCACAGAAATAGAAATTGGTACATACAAGTGTTTAAACATACGCATATGTATATATATTTCAAGTATTACTATAAAATGAACTTTATTATAAAATTAATTTTATTTCAAGTATTATTATAAAATGACTTTACAGGGCTATATTTTTAAAATAAAATAGCCAATAATTTTTGAAAATTATCTCAAGGAACACGTATAAAAAGTGTCAATTTTAGTTGCAAATGTCTCAGCTCTCGAAAAGTCCAATCTTTTTCTAATTACGCGAGCAATGATAATATTTTAGATAATATTTTAATGTATACACAAGCTTCATCGAATCCTTATCCAACTCATTTCTCTTTATAATATTTTTTAAAGTGGAATAACTTTGGATCCAGGCTCTGAATTACTGTCAAACTTTCGGTGTCATTTTTAAATACAACTTAGATCAATTTGTAAATTTTTCATTATTTTGACTTATGCGCAATACATCCTTGACAATTACAATAACCGATCGCGATATTTAATCTTTTTAAGGATACCGATCGCATATGTGTACGTTCAATTTTTCTATTTTAATTTGAACATTTCAACGAAACCTAACGAACATCGCCGTGAACAAACATGCACCACAAAATCCCGCAATAACAACAAAAAAAGAAATATGATTGACGTCATATTTATATCACTGTGAAATGAAATCAATTTTTCCCGACTTTAACAAACACATCCCCGCACGGTAAAAAATTTTACGTTACAAACGGTCCATCCAAATTTCTGCGCTACTTTAACAAGTAGTGAATTTATTTTAAAGAAAGTTTGCTAACGAAGCGAATATATTAACGTATTCGTGTGCTTTTTCACATATTCCTCGTGCCGAAGTAACATCTTAGGAGGACCGTTTGCAACACCAAATTTCTTTACTGTGCGAACAAGTGAGAATTCAAATCGTTTCCTCGCGCGTGCACGCCGCTAGAGCACGCTAGAGCTAAAATGCGCAAATGGTAAAAAAATTCGCAAAGACAACCGATGTAGAGCTTTTTATTCACGGTCGCCGTGTTATGCCTGCAACGAGGCTGATAAAGAAAGAAACGACGCCCGTGACGCCGCGGACGTCGTCGAAATGCACATGTAAACAAACATACGTACAGGGTGCCGCCATTATCGTGACGGAGCTTAATTATCTCCAAGAAGACGACAACGTCGTCGATCACCGAAAGGAAATGACGCTCTCGTCGGGAACGTTTGGGGAGGGGAAAGGCGAAAAGCGAGTAAAACTCGAAAACACTCACTGTGCATGGGGTTCTGGCGAATCTCGTTGTCGTCACGCTCGGAGTCGCGCGGCCGCCGCGTGGTCCTCCTCGTCGTCCGAGAAAATTCTCCGATGATATCCCGAGCTTAGGTCGCGAAGAATTCTCCCGCGACGCCGTGGGAAGCGTCGCGCGTCTCGCAGCGCAGTCGGCGCCGCGAGGATCGTGACACGTCCGGATGCTTTTAGACGACCTTGAACCACGTGAGGGAGAATTCGAGCCCGCGGCCCAACGCTCTCTCGCAGGCTGATGACGGACTAGTCGAAAGGAGGGAAGGAAGGAAGGGACGAGCAGCCGCCCTCATTCGCGCACGCTGTCACTCGGTGTGTTTATCATCGCGCGAGAGCCGTCGCGTCGTTAGTGGCGCGTCCACGACGCACACATTCGCGAGAGGCGACGAGAAAGAGAGAGAGAGAAAAGTGACGCGCGTCTTTCGCGATTTTTGGACGACACTCTCCGCGGCCGATGCGTCCGGTAAACAGACAGACGTCTCGGAAAGAGCGGAGGAAGCGAACAGGGAAGAAAATGAGATAGAGAAAGAGAGACGAGCAGAGGGGTAGCACACCACTAGCTGCAGTCGCTGCTGCTTTTAAATCGCCGCCGGCGCGAGCTGGTCGTTCACGCCTGGCGACCGTGACACCACCCGGGCACGCGGCCCGCACTAAACCGCGCGCCTTCACCTCGTTCGTACGCGCGCTATTCGCTTCTCGCGAGGTCCGAGGTGCCGCGACTCTCACGGAGCTTCCCCGACGTAGCAACTTCTCACGACGGGCACCCGCACTCACTGACAACGCCAGACGGCAGCCATTACGGGAATGAGTCGCCGCCGCGGCAGACGCGCCAGTGCCGCCACCCGGCGATAGCCCGAAACTCGCCGCCCCACCAGCCGCCCGGAGCGGTGGGGACGCGGCAATTTCGAACGGGCGCGCGCGCGCGCCCACGCAAGAAACGTGAAAGTGTTTCGCGGCTTACGCGCTTCCCCGCTCGCTCCCGTGGCTTGCAGGAATGCGTCCGAATTGTAGCTGGAATCCCGGTCTGTCGAATGAATGTACGAGTGCGGATGTGCTCGAATTCGACGTGTCTTGGATTAACACTCCGCCGGCAGTGCGGGGCTCTGAAGGCACGGTCGATTCTTCGATCACGAATAGTGAAATTAACAGTTTGAAGCATTGGCCTTAAAGATGATTTATTAATGGGATCCTGGACAATTTGGATGTCTATTAAAAAATTTTCATTGTTGATGTATGTTGTTGTGATTTAGCAACCAATATAACAATTTTAAGTGTGAAAAAAGCACTTAAAAAAATATATTTTTTTATATACACATCTTATACAAGAAATTATTTTTTATTCCAATTTAAAGTAAAATGCTGTGAAAAATAAAAATTGTAACATTTTGTACAGTTGCTATTTAAAAATTTTTAAGGAGCTTATTTTTAGATATATAAATGTTATTTATGGATTATAATAAAGAAGACAAAATACTGATTTCAAAAACATATAATAATATAGGCTTGACTACTTACAGCAAACATTGTAAAATATCCAAACAGGAAGATTAGAAGAAAACATGACAGTCTTTTGAGTCTATGCATAGTTGCCTTTGGTGTGGAAGAGCTTGAAACAGTGAGGCACGCATAAAGGTGTTGAACAATCAGGACACCACCAAGAAGTTTCTTTTCTTCCGGTTTTTCCAGCTTCAACTTTTGATTTAGCTGAGCACACCTTGCACAATCTTGTCGGCTGCGCTTTTTTCTCGGTGGCTGGAATTTTGTCCGGAAAGTGACGGCCAGTGAGTCTGTTTGATTTTGCAGTAGTTGGAGCCTCTTCCTGAGCAAGGATTCCACCTTTATTTCCTAATTCCTTCCCAATTGATATTATAAATTTGTCCAAATGACATTTCTTCCTCAAATTTGCTGGTTTTACTGCACGGTATAAAATTAATGAATTGGCAATCGACAGCATGAATAAGTGAAAAAACAACTTTTTCCACCATTTCATCTGTTTTCTCTTGAAAGGGTAATAAGCAATGAGTTGACCATTTCTGTCAATTCCTGGTTTATTTTTATTGTAGTCTAAAATCAGATCGGGTTTTGTTTTTTGTACCATACCTTGTTTTCCACAAACCACGACATCTGATGAAGTCATCTTATGGATGGAAGACAAAGCCAGGATATCTCTTTTGTCTCTCCACTTCATACAAAAGAGATGATTTCGCCTCTTAAAAACAGTTTCATCAGTCTTGAGTTTCTTTTTGTGACAGTTTTTGGCAGTTGTTTCCTTTTGGCCATACGTGTACCGACCGCTTTAGTTTTTTTATCCCATAAAAAATCAAAGAGAATCGGTGATGTGTAGAATCTGTCATTGTAGACGGTGTGACCTTTGTTCAAATACTTGGAAAGAAGTCTTGAATAAAGACTGACAACAGTATTGTCATCAGACTAGCCAGTATAAACTTCAAAGTTCAAAACATAACCGGTTGAAGAGTCGCAAACAATATACAACTTCATACCATCTGGTTTACATTTGTTATACACTCTAAATCTGATCTTACCTCTAAAACCACAAGTTTTCTTCATCAACAGTTAAGTTTTCGTATGGAGAGAAATACTTAGGGAAATTAGCAAGCAGATGTTCAATATATGGACTTATTTTGTGCATGGGGTCATGGCCGGGAACATTGTATGGGATGTAGGTTGAATTATCATTTATGTGAAAGTTTGCTAAAATAGCAAAAAATCAGTCCCTTGGCATTACAGAGGCAGCATAAGAAGTTTTCATAAAACTGTCAGTTGACCAATAGTCTCTCAATTTAGGTTTCTTTACAACGCACATGTGAAAAATTATTGAAAAGAATTGATAAATTTCATGTAACTTTACTGTCACCCATTTCCCCCATAAACTATTTTTCTTCAGCTTGTTCGTTCCTTTCAATTTATCTGTTATGGATTTAGCATATTTATTTGTTTCTGATTTGAACAACTTTATCATAGATTCAGGAAAGAATAATGAAAAAATCTGAAATGGAGTAGATGACTCATCAACGGCAGCAGTGATGCCACTTAGCTCATCAAAAACTGGGAGTAGTGGAGGTTTATCTACTGAAGTCCACTCTAGTTCTTCATCTGTGGATGCTTGTTTCTTACTTTTCCTTTTGTTTGGCCTATCACCACTATCCTTGTCTTTATTTTGTTCAATTTCAATTGGTGTGGGAGGCTGATCATCTTCAAAATCACTAGGCCTAACATCTGGAGGCCTAGGATTACTAGCTTGAGCCCTAAGGTCAACTTCATCTAAACTTAGGTCTAAATCAACAGTTCGGTTTAATGTTTTTCTTTTCTTATTAGGCCTAGGCTTAAATCCTAGATACTCACTACTGTAGTCTAATTTGGAACTTGTTGAAGGCTGAGGGTTTTCATAAATGTCAATATCAACATCACTACACGATTCACTTCTATAGTCAATACCAGTAACCTCAAAATCTGGGTCTGCATCAACGTTATCTTCAAATTCTCCTTCCGAACCGGAATCAAATACAGGATCGATGTTCATACTGAATAATATTTGAAATGCTAGGCCTACTTTGTTCCTCACTAACTTTGTTCAGGAACGTATTTCCGTCGTCCAATTCGTCATTACAACTGTTAGAATCAGACAACATTTCACGAATCAATTGATTAGTTTTTGGATCACCCATAATGAAAACAAAAGATAATTCACTTGTATTTATTCAAAATACTGAATTCACCACACTTACATTTCAATAAAACATTCAAATAAACGTACTGTAACATAAACAACAACAGCACTGCAGAACGTCATCAGCTAATGAGTCGTATCAGCTGTTTTTTTATATTTAGCAAGCCTACAGGAGAATGAAACGGGAAAGAAAAAGGAGGATAGATATCCGATGTTCTATGAAACATTTGGTACGACCGAAACCTGAGAATAAGTCGACAGCAGAAGCGTATGAAATTAAATAGCTAGGCCCGAGTTATATTCGGGCTTCGGCAGTTGTCGTCTGTGCACTACCCCGACCTATACTCGGGCTTAAAACAAAGAGTGTTAATATGTATGCGCAAGGATATCAGTACCCTAGCTGTTCGTTTCCTAATCAGGAGAGTCAGAATATGCGTTTGTGCGGTCAATATTTTTGCAAATCGATCATTTTGATTTTTTTTTATGTTTTGCGTTGCGAAATGCAACGTGGTGTTAAGAGGCGGGGAGGAGCGGAGAAAAATGTTTAATTTGCGAAAAGTCAATCTTCGTTAGACCGTATAGCAAGCCTTTCTCTCTCGCTTCGTAAAGTTTCACGGGATCACTTCAAGCCAACGGGTTCGAAATCTATAGTGCATTTTTTGCGACGCAACGACTCGGCCGATCGCTCCAGATCGCGTTTCGTCCGCAACAATGACAATGTTACGAATAATACGATGTGAGAACGGGTTTAGAGAAACTGTATCACTCTCTCGGCTTGCGGAGTCGGCGGACGAGAGTCGTTTCACGGCGCGCAAAATAATTTATGAGAATTTCTAATCCGACCCGGCCGCTCGTACGGCCTTGTCTCCCGCCAAACGCGCGTCCCTTACAAGACGAGATGAAAGTGTGAGAATCCTCATGTGCATACAAGTACGTCGCCTTTCACCGTCCGAACTGATAATTGCCGTTCGGTCCACGCCGCTCGTGACAGTCATTCGAGAGAACGACCTGGAAGAAAATTAAACCTCCTTGGCTGCGAGGCGAAAAATTGGAAACCCCGCAAATCTCTCGTCGGCGATCGGACGATGAAATACAAGATTCTAAGATTTTGACACATTCTCGAATCTGTGTTATCCGATGTTAAATATATATAACACAATATATATACTTAAATAAAAAATTATAGAGTTTCGAGAATTGTAACTGTGAGAATTGCGAGTGACTTTTCATAACAATATTTGTGTGTAAATACGTTAATTTTTATTTATCCATGTGTATTTATATGAACGCGTGTATATGTATATTTTATTTCCCAGTAACAGTAATGTAACTGTTAGTTAAAATTTTCACTTAGCAATATAAATGCAACGTAACATTCATGTTAACATTGTTGAGCGGGAAATTATAATTGACAATTGCGTTACTGTTACTTGGTGTTTGCTGGGTTAATATCTCTTGCTATCTTTACAAGTCCCTGGCTTTAAAAATAAAATCTGGGTTTCTGGGCTTGTTAATTTAAACCTGCCTGAAATTTTTATTTTAACTTTCAAATAAAGCTTTCAGAGATGCCGGGATATAATAGGGCACAGACGGTACCTTATTTTTACTTGATCCAGATACTTTATTGACACTTTTGACGCGCATGTGCGAGAAAGTGGTGTCGCTAGTGTATGAAACGTGTACTTCCGTTATGTAGCGTGCACTTCCGTTATGTAGCGTAGCACATGTTGTACGTATACTGGTGTCTGACTGTTCTGAGAGCGTATTATTGTTATAAAAATATCAATTATACAAGTTGTGTAATTAACAAGCAGCGAAGATGGCAAAGTTTTGTTTGAGTAAGTTAATCGAATTATTAAAGTGTTGCGATATTAAGATATCACGTATGTTTTTTATAAAGAATAACGCTGGGATTAAGGTTATGTGCAGGTTATGTGCCTGAATAAAATTATTTTCTATTTAAATAACCTTTCATATGTGTAGAAAAGCCAAGTAAGCGCGTGCAGGCACGGAGGAGATATAAGGTTGAAAAGAAAGTCCGCGAACACAACCGTAAATTGCGAAAACAGGCCAAGAAGCATCCTAAAAGTAAGTCTTTGCTTCGGATCCTCAAGCATATATATTTGCGTTAAACCAACGCACAGTTGATATGTGTCATTGTATTTTGATTCAGAGAAAGCTAAGGTAATAGAGATTCCAAATCAATGTCCTTTCAAAGAAGACATCTTAAAGGAGATAGAGGCAATGAAGAAGGTAAATGAAGAAGAAAAAAGAAAACGGAAGGAGGCTGCTCGTGAGAAAAGACACAAGGAACTTGCCAAGAATGGTCTTCAAGGATTGGTTAATGAAGCTGAGAGAAAGCAATTGGTGCACAAATCTATGGAAGTTGATACTGTTGAAGATAAAGTTAAGGAAGCTGTAGATAAGAAAGAAAATTCATTAAAGGCTTATTACAAAGAATTCAAGAAGGTTCTGGATGCAGCTGATGTTGTTATTGAAGTTGTGGATGCTCGTGATCCACTAGGAACACGTTGTAAACAGGTAAACTTTTAAATCTGCTGTCAGAGATACAAATGCATCATATTAAGGTAGTAAGGTATCATACTAAGGTATTATAGAGTGTCATATTTTCAGTGTCATATCAAGGTTACCCAAATTTAATATTAATTAAATTATCAAACAAAAGTACATTCTTAAACATTTATTTCATTACCTAAGTAATAAATGTTAATTTGAAACAAAGTTGAGGTAGACACACACACACACATACGATATTACAAGTACGAAAATTTATTATTTTTAATATTATTTTTTATTTTTCTTTCTAATGTTATTTTGGTGCATTAGCTGATACAAAGAGATATGTCTATATAATAAAGATACACAGATAGTAAAAAGAGATATATAAATATTTAAACATATGTATATATTTATATATGTATTTCATTCAAATATTATGTATTGTAATGTATGTTATGAACTTTACTGTATTATCAAAACAAAATGGTCAATAATTTTGAAATTTTTGTGTAGTGCCTTTATTATGTTCTTAATATCATAGAAGTTAAAAATAGGACATTAAGGAATACATATAAAAAGTATCGTCTTTAGTTGTGAATATTTCAGCTTCCAAATGGTTAATCTACTTCTATTTGCGTCTATAATTAGATTATATTTAAATCTATATATAATACAAGTCTTAACGAATTCTTAAAGTTCACTTTGTCCTACAGTTGTACTTCAACCAAATCATTTACTAATAAATTTTTACTTTTATACAGGTGGAAGAAGCAGTCAGATCTGCAAAGGGAAACAAAAGATTGGTGTTGGTCTTGAATAAGGCAGATTTGGTTCCTAGAGCAAATCTAGATGAGTGGTTGAAGTATCTGAGAGCTAGTTTGCCAGCCGTAGCGTTCAAATCGTCCACGCAGAGTCAAGCGAATCGACTGGGTAGAAGAAAGCTGGGTAGAAAAACGGAATCCATGATACAAGGCAACACCTGTTTCGGTGCTGAATTACTCTTGTCATTACTTGGAAATTATTGCAGAAACAGTGGCAACGTAAAGACAAGCATCAGAGTGGGAGTCGTCGGGCTTCCGAACGTAGGCAAATCCAGCGTTATCAATTCTTTGAAACGCAACAAAGCGTGCAATGTTGGAAATACGCCAGGTATTTGATCATTTGTTAGCGGTCTTTCCCCAACAGTCTTCCAATTTCGTTTAATTCAATCAACTTAAAGATCGACGATATATCTCAAATCTGTGCGTCTGCTTTTCTATTGTAATCACTGTCAATTTTATTTATTTTTTTCATTTGTTAGGACGATTTCAAATTAACTGTTTCTGCCTATCGTTTTACTTATGTTTCTACTTGCAGGAATAACCAAGACGATGCAAGAAATTCAATTAGACTCGAAGATAAAACTATTGGACTCTCCCGGCATAGTGTTCGCTAGTTCGGACGGGAACTTCGATGATACGTCTGTGGCCCTTAAAAATGCCGTGAAAATTCAAGGGTTGAGAGATCCTTTCACGCCGGCGACCGCTATTCTAAAGAGGATCTCGCGAGAACAGATAATGGAATTGTACGATATGCAAGACTTCTCGTCGCCGGAGGAATTCTTCCCGATGAAGGCGGCAAGAATGGGGAAGTTTAAAAGACGCGGATTACCTGATGCTTTGGCTGCGGCGCGCAGTATTCTTGACGACTGGAATTCCGGGAAAATTAGGTACGTTGCGGATTTCCAGATATTCGTGCGGAAAGGAACCTAATTTCCTGTAATTTTTAACGACGTGTCACTTCAAGATATTATACTGTACCACCCGAACAACCAGTGTGTCACGTATCCGCGGAAATTATCAGTCAGATGGCTAAAGAGTTCGACATTGAGAGTTTCGCCACGGAGGAAAAAATGATGCTCGACAATCTCGCAACGGACTCGACAAGTAATCCTACTGTCGCGAATCCTTTGTTGATCGACAGTACGGGACCTGTCACGGCGATGGAAGTCGAGAAAGAAACGGTAATGCGCGTATATATCGGTGATTTACAATCATACAGAACATCGCGTCTGTTTTACGCAATATCTGATCTATGCTTTTGCGTAGCAATACAAGGTGCAGAAAAAATTAAAGAAATTGACAGAAGCGAAGAATGTCGAGAGGAAGAAGAAAACTGATCCGCTGTCCGAGATCGATGGCAATAAAAAGCTGAATAAGCTTAATAAACTTCAGTTCAAGAAGGAGAAGAAGAAAAAAGCGAGAGCAGGTATGGCGAGAATGAGAGAAGGAATTTTATAATTCGATTATTCAACGTAATACACTCTTAGATTACTTAGAAAACATTGTGTCGTTTTCAGAAAAAGCCGCTGTCAAACTAGCGGGACAACTTGAAGGATTTAATTTACGGACGGATGATTATGACTTCAATACAGATTTTACAGCATAAAAGTTGTGTTATATAATTACGAATATATGGTACGAATGAGAAAGAACTATATAAATAATAAAGATTACATTGACGAAAATATTGTATCTAACATATTATTTTATACTTCCTGAACGCGTGATACACTCTTTTTATTCACCGATTCTCTCCGTTTACGATATAAAGTATTTCACGCGGATAATTCTTCCAAATGATTCTTGTCGTATGAAAAATTTGTCATTATAACTAATGTAGAAATCATATATTTTTGAACGTTTAGTTAAAGTTTGGTTTTTATAAGCCGTTTAGAGCGACTAACTTAACCCGTTTCGGCTCAAATGGCACAATTTTGACGTTCAAGTTTGAATCAATACCCAACAATGAAATCGAGCCAAAAATTTTTTAAAATCACTGTACCCTATGTTTTTGAGGGTGCTCTTTCGAATGGTGATAGAAAAAAAAAAATTTTTTAAGCATGGAAAAATCGAAAATAAAAAAAAGAAACGTATTTTTTCGATCCGATTTCTTGTTAAAAACGATTTTTCGATCTCTGTACATTATTTTATACTTCTCAAACTGGTTTAGATGGTGGAATAATTGTCTAAAATTTGATTTGGTATGGTCAGATGTGCCTTGAAAATTTTTTGGTGAAGCAAAATGACGACCTAAGTGAGAAATTGTGTTTTTCAACTTGACGAATTTTTTTCTAGAAAACTATAGACTTTGGCGAAAAATTCCTAAGAACAAAAATGTCTTGGAATGAGTCAAGGAACACTCTAAAATTTTTCCAAAATTTTCTATAACAATTTTTTGATTTTCTGAAAATCCGGAAAATCCAATTTTCCAAAACTGTCGCAAAAAATTCTGAAAAAATTTGAGAGGATTCCTTGACTAATTTTAAGACTTTTTTGTTCTGAGGAATTTTTTGCTAAAGTTCATACAATTCGAGAAAAAAAATCTAGTCTCAAAATCTAGCCTAAACAATAGTTTTTGCTTGATATACATACATAAATANAGCTTCTGCAAGTTATTATACTATTCTTTTCGTTATACAATTTATATCTAAGTTCATTGTACAGTAACATTTAGATGTATAATTTTTTCAAACTATAATAAAAATAAGATCATTATCGTTTAACTTTAAATGTAATCCATACAAACAAGAGCAAGTATAAAAGTGCAATTTATTGTATTTTCTTTTGAAATGGGAAAAAAAGTTAAAAGAGTTAATTCTGGAAACGGAAAGGAAGAAATAAATAATAAGAGATCAAAACAACATCAGTAGTCGAAAATGAATTTGAAATTGATAGTGATAACGAAGATCACGTGATTTTACCTAATCCTGAATATTCTGGAGAGTCTGACACAGATGATGAGATGAATGTTCAATCTTCAAGCCATAATTCTAATGATAAAAACAAAATGAACATAAGTTATAGAAAAGTTTTAAAAAATTACTCTCAAACGCAGAAATTACTAGAGCCTGATCACGTGTACGAGTGGAACGAAGGAGCAAAACTATGTATCGACGATATAAATGATGAACTTCTCTTGCCTAGTAGTATAAAGTTAAAAATTCAAAGTTCCACACTCATTGAAATATTTGAGTTATTCTTTTCTCAAAGTTTGAAGCAGTACATTTTCCGGATTTTCAGAGAATCAAAAAATTGTTATAGAAAATTTTGGAAAAATTTGATAGTGTTCCTTGACTCATTCCAAGACATTTTTGTTCTTAGGAATTTTTTGCCAAAGTCTATAGTTTTCTAGAAAAAAATTCGTCAAGTTGAAAAACACAATTTCTCACTTAGGTCGCCATTTTGCTTCACCAAAAAATTTTCAAGGCACGTCTGACCATACCAAATAAAATTTTAGACCATTATACCACCATCTAAACCAGTTTGAGAAGTATAAAAAAATGTACAGAGGTCGAAAAATCGTTTTTAACAAGAAATCGGATCGAAAAAACACGTTTCTTTTTTTATTTTCGATTTTTCCATGCTAAACATTTTTTTTTTATTTCTAACTATCACCATTCGAAAGAGCACCCTCAAAAACATAGGGTACAGTGATTTAAAAAAATGTTTGGCTCGATTTCATTGTTGGGTATTGATTCAAACTTAAACGTCAAGATTGTGCCATTTGGGCGGAAACGGGTTAAGATAGTAACGTTAGAAGCTTCGAAACGAACATCATCTTTATTTCTGTTTCCGCTTGCTAGATTAGATTATTTACCTTGTCAACATGAGATGCTGAAAGGCAAAAGTAAAAGAAAAATCGGAATGCAGGTGCGCGCGCGCGCATTATTAGTGAAATTATTAGAGAAAATGTTGCAATTTGCAATTAATTACAATAGATTACATTTACGCAATATATTGATTATTATATATATTATATATATTGATTATATTGGCAAATAACGATAATAATGCAAAGAAATAATTTTAAAAAATGAAAAAAAGATACTTATAAATATATTTTAATAGCGGCCTGGGAATAATAAAATTTGTTTAAGAAAATACAACTAACAAATTAGAAACATTTACGAGCATCCTTATATATTGCACATGCACGATAAGAGCTCTAAATATATTACAAACGCAAATAATGTTAATCTTGCGTACCGAGAAATATGAGGTATCATGTGTGCATTACGATGAGGAATAGATAAAGTTTCTGGAAATTGCTTATCATGTATATTTAATGAGTTAATTTTTAACATAATATTGACACATATGCATTTAATCTTTTCTTGTTTTTAATTTGAATATTGTTGGCGAAAAACTAATATTATCACAAGTAATTATTCACTGCAAATTCCCGAACAAAAAGAAAAGAAGAAATCTCGTCATATGATTGACAGATTTCACTTTAAAACTAAATCATCACCCTTTTTGACTTTAATAAATTAATGAGTGCATTTAATATTTTTGCATTTTGCATTTAGTATTTAATATATTACAATTGTTTATTAAACATTCAGTGAACTTTTGAATCTAATTAGTTTATTAACTTTTAAATCTTGATTAAATCTGAAAATACGTTCTGAATGTGTACAATGTTTCGAGCAAAAATAGGAGAAATACTTTTTTTTTTCAAAATAGAAGAGGTCTCTTCTGTGAGATTTGTTGACTAGATTGTGTATATTTTATAAGTTGAAATAATAATAAAAATATTGTGTAAATATGAATCCAAAAATATGCTTCATTAAAATGTAACAAAAATACAAAGTAAAGAAAACACTGACCGAAAATATTTATCCAATTTATTAATTTGAATTGTATTTAACACTCATACTCGCGTTTAGTAACATTAATTTATCTAAATAATATAAATTTCTAAAAGACCTTAAAACGTCTGAAAAATATCCAAAATAAGATAATAGGAGGTCTTTTAAGATATTTTTGAGAAATTTATTCTATCTAAGGAGGAAAATAAATGTGGATTGAAAGAAGAAGATAAAAAATTTTTTTTTGATGATGAAATAAATATAATAAATGCAACATATATGGAATCGCTTTCCTATTATTCATGCCATTGTTAAGAAAAAGAAGTTTTTTTTTGCAATTTGTGCTAAATATTCGTTTTAACTTTTGAGCTGGACTTTATTATGTCATGTACAAATCGTTAGTAATTATTTTTCATTATAATTAACAGATAAAAAAGTATAATTAACAGATAAAGAAGTATCAATCAATATGTGTAAGGAAAAAGACGTGTATAAATAAGATAACCGGAAAGGATGATAACATATTTTGTTGTGACAACGATTCAAGTTGATTAAGCTCATTCTCGTGCAACGAAGTGATGATAATAGTGAATGAGAAGTGCAGTCCCACTTGGTCGACGATCACGGAGCGGTCAAGTACGGATGCAATCCTATCGAACGGTTTTGTCGAGAATCATTCGTTGTCGTGAAGTTTGATATTGTGAAACGATCACCACTGGGAACTACTGCACGTGGAAAATGAGCGGGACAAATATTTCAAAATTAACCGAAATGACGAGAAAAATCACTAAGTTCATCAGGCCGCCGGGTCCGCCGAAGATTTGGGAAGTGGTCGAAAAAATCGGCAGAGACGGACGACCGATTAAATTCACGATCCAGGAGATTCCCGAGGACAGAAGCGAGGATGCAATTGACCACATGTGTCAATATTTTATGGTGGACGAACCGACATGCGCGTGTTTCAGTAAGTGTCTCTCCTCTTCACATCGTTGGCCGACTTATAATCCGATTATCGTAACGGATAATCACGTAATGCCGTTCGAAAACTTAGGCGCGGCAAAGATCGTGACATCTTGATGAAAAGAAAACTCTCGGGTTAATTGTATCTTTGCGAATAACATTTACACACTCTTGTTCTCATTTATTTTACGATCTTTACATGGTCGCGAAAGCACATACGTGGCGATCGCGAAAATCAAGCGAGGTGTGATACGGGAAAACAAAGATAAATATTTGGAATTCAAGTTAACATATCTATCTATTGACGGATATAAGTGAGATGCACACGCGGGAAGCTTGTTACTACTGTTGCTCGTTGGATTTTATAATTTAATAAGTGTTAGCCACTCTCAGATGCCACAAATTTGATAGACACGTTCGCAAATATCGATATTTCCAAAAAGAAAAAAGTGATTTAGCGCGACAATTTTGTTACGACAATTTTGTTTTGTCTCGTAACTTTTACAATGTTGGATTAATCGGCGATTTACGAGAATATACGTAATTAGATTATATAAACCTTTTTCTTCTTATGCAATCTTATATAATCGGATGTCAACACAGTGACTTTGACTTTGACGTGCGCACATAAACAGTGTTTAGCTTTTGACCGTATCGTTAATGATAACATTTTGCATTTGTTGCATTTTCCTACCGTCCTTCATCATCTTCTAATGTTGCGTTAAGACTGAGCTATTTTCTGACAGATTTCGTTTCGATGTTTCGAACTACGTTGAACACTATTGCATTGAATATTTTGCGATCCGCCGACGATATAATCTCGTCGCGATATGAGAACATTAATATTAAACGATATACACATTTTGAACGCGACATTTCCGCCCTTATCGCGTACATCGCGTATCGCATACGCTTTCCGTTTCTTGTAAAAATGATCAGAGATTTCTTTTACAAGAACGATATGACGCATTAATATTATTCGTTTCGTTTACAGATGCCGTAAATTCGCCTATATTCGTAAAAGAGTGCAGGGAATTTTGGCGCAATATATTGGACCAAGGCATAGCTGTTGCCGCTTTTGTTGACAATCCCAACGGAAACAAATCTATAATAGCCGGTCTAAACATGTTATGCGTAGAATATAAAGATGAGAAGATAGATATACAAGTGAGTTCCGTTCATTTTTCTCGACGCTATTCCAATTGTTCATTAGTCCCGATCTATAATAGGTGTGGTAAGTTTAGTAAGCCATAAGAAGTTGACCAATCACAGTCGAATTATAGAAGAAAAATCAATTATAATTAGTCAATTTCTTACAGCATAAAGCCACCTATTATAGATTGAGATTTATACCCACGCTGCGACTTACATGTTTCAGCCCGCAACTGCACGACAAAGTAATCGACGATAATTTATGTTTGATAATGATTCACGAATTGATTTATCAACATTTAATAATTCATCAATAACGATTTATCACAATGCGCGTCACTGTGCGATTTTCAGTTGCAGTCAAACTTCAGATTTATATTTAATGCCATGAAGAAATTAAATAAGAGTCTCCGATTGTTCGAACGTTACAACGTAGACAAATACATGTTTGCTGTTGGGCTCAGCGTAGCGACCGCTTATCGGGGATACGGATTGGGTGCGGATATTCTAAAAGTCAGGTGACGTTTATTCCGGTTAAGATTTTATTTAACGTGTGAGGAGTCTTTTAAGGTAGAGTTCCAATATTTCGAAGTCTTTGTTCGATTCGATCTAAAGAAAATTATGGAAACCGAATGAAATCAAACTAACTTGGTGCTTGGAGCGAAAAGGTCGACTCTCTCGCTTTTTTCCTCAGTTTAAACATATAACTAATCGTGTCATATGTACGATTCAAATGTTGATCTAGGGATAAAATTGGGCAAGAGTACGATATCGAGATGACGTCCACGGCATTCACCTCGCCATTCGCGGCTAAAGCAGCGGAGCGTGTGGGATTCGAGATACTGCTGAAGACAAAATTCGCCGATTTCGTGGACGAAAATGGCAAAGAATGCTTTCCCGGTATACAAAAGTATTCAGATACTTTAGTGATCATGGCGAAAAGAATCAAATAAGATAGACCCTCCGCGCGCAGGAACAATAGCAGAGAAAGAGAAAGAGAGAGAGAGAGAGAGAATAAAAGAAAAAACGCGTTACTCAATTTTTTCCAATCTGGAATATTTCAATAATTTGCAAGCACTGCAAATACGAGCCGAATAATTTTTATTGCAAAAACTTCATATATCTCGCTTGAATAACTTTATCAAGACGGACATCTTCTTCGCGAAACTTTTTGCCGTGATTGTTCAATAATTTGTGTTTAAAAATTTTCTGTGACGTTGAACGGCTCGCTTTATAATAATATGTGTAACGATTTTTGGTTTACCAAAAACAAAATATTTTATAATCATATATGTAAATCATGCTATATGTGACAGACGGAATATATGTGATAGTATCGTTAAAATATATAAAAGTAAAGTAGAAGTAAAGTAGAAATGACTTCACGCTTGGACGATCTTACGTAAAATATTATATAAAATTGAACAACAGAGAAATTGTTTTAATTAGTGCTGAAAAATAGAGATAAATAGAGTTTCCCGATTCGAAAGAATTGTCGTTTTGTATTATTAAAGATAGCGGCCTTTCGCGAAAATTAATACGTTCACTACATGCGTGACGCGATTATTTTTCACGAGAGATCAACGTCATATATATGTAACAGTAAAACTTTTTTCCATGTCCACATTATCAAATTAAGTCTGCACAATTACGTGAGAAAGAGAATACGAAGTGACTGTGAGAAGAGTCTTTTAAATAAACTTTGATAGCGAATGTGTTAATGCCTGTAGATAGAGAAAAATATACACCGCATATAAATAAATGTGCAAGTATGGTTTCAAATATTTTATAAGTTTATATACCCGCAAATATATCACAGGTTCATCATAAGTATCACAGATTTATTTAAAATATATTCTAAACTCTGGTAAGTTTAATATTTCGACCGAGAATATTAAATAAAAATAAAAATCGGATCTTGTTTATTTAAAAATTAACCGCATCTAACTTTCCTTCGACAATTTTTATAATATTCTTGAAGAAAGAATAAAATTTTCTCTCGCGTACGTTATAATGTGTTTTACAAAAGTTTGCGTTGCACATATTCCAAGACTGTTATCAAGAAAATGTTCTTCGTTGAAGATAAGCATTATTTGAAAAAGGGGAAGCAAATTGAACAATCGCTTTTCTCAGTGGTGCAATGATATTTTTCTTTGTATACAGATTTAGATAGTGAGATGTTTATCAGCGTTTATCAGCGCGTTGGAATGAAGTATAAATCAAATGTATATATAGTAGTGCATATGATATAAGCATAAAAATAAAATACAAAAAAAGAACAGGAGGGTAATTAAGTATACATAAATAATTAAAAGGGAGACAGGTGGCAGATTACTTTCGAAGAATCTGAAATTACGAGCAAACTTTCTGTCCAAAGGCAATTTTAACGAGACGATGTTTAAGACACTCAAAATTAATGAGACGAACGAAGTTGTGTGGAGAAAAATCGCTACTAAAGAATCTGCGGATGAAATCTGGGCGTGATTCTGTGACGTTCGGCGCGTGCTGTCCGATGAGCGAGCAATCAATTCGACTAGATCACACGAAGTAAAGAATGGAGCCATCAAATCGAAGTGAAGTGCGCTCACGCCGTCAACCGCTAGCGACGAAAAGGATTCTTTTTCGGAATTCTGAGCGCACGTCAAACGCATTACGATCGAGCTCGACTCGCGTTTGATGCGTGGGTGAAATACGCGAGCGGACGTATTTCGATTGTTTATCAGGACGACTTTCGCCCTAATAAACAATCGGTATTCGCGTGGCGGCATTCGAATGCGTGCGATTACACGATTTTAACGATGCGTTTCCGCGCGCACGCGAGGAAATGCGGGCCGCCGCGATACGCTACGTCGAGACACGCTCAGAAATCCGTGATAGGATCACGTCGTCGTCGTCGGCACGGCTAGAATTCAATTTATTTCTCTCGCGTGTCGCGCGGCCTATTTAATTCGCGTACCGAGCAAGTAAGAAGTGTCATTTAGAAACCCGTACGCGGGTCTCTCCGTGAAAATAATCAATACTGGGTCGTTAGTTTCTCCCGTGGATCTGCACCGAAGGCGAGGGAAACGGGCGGGAAAAGGACCCCGTTCGGGTGTGTTGGTGTACTTAAGTATATACAAGTATATACCAATCTATGTTGTACGGACAGTCCCGAAGCAGCTTGCGACAAACGTGCGCGCAGAAATAAATCACTTTGTACCGCGAGCGATGGCAAAATACCGTTTCAGCCGCATTGCGTTCGACCACTTAGCGAAGATCGTTACACAGCTCGCCCGTGCAGTTCCGCGAAAGTTCGAGCGAGCGTTTCGCCGAGGAAAGGAATGCTTCTAAAGAGCGGAATGTAGACCCGATCGATGCTCAATCGATGGCAAGCTTATAGAGAGCTTGTGCAAAATTTATTAACGCTATCGTTGCGTCAGAACTCGAATGGCAATCCGGCTGCGCTTCGCGTCTCGACGCTAAAGTCGGAACGCGATTTCTGTCCGATGATAATTGTTGAATAAGTGCAATAATGTAAAGTTAATTATAGTTTCATCGCCCCCTCCCCGCTGCGATCGCTGTTCAAATATCCCGGTACAAGGCCATACGTTATTTTGTTCGCTCCGCGATAATTAATCGCGATGGTTAAATCGTACGATTAAATTGTACGAGGAAGTAATTTATTAAACGTGCTCGCATAAAGTGTCTCCCCGGCGTGCCGGTCTAATTGCGAAAATGACGTTTTAAATATGCGTACGTGTGTTTGAACAGTTGGCTGCTTCCGGGATAACGAGTGTGGGATAAATCGCAAGAATTACCTCCGACTATCCGCGTGAGTTAATTAACACCGGACGAGATTTCCCGATATCAAGTGGAATTAAATGATTGAAACGGGTTGCGATCGATCGAAATTGACCGGGATTAAAGCGAGCCAATGGGAACTGAGCGAGATAACACAACAAGCTCGATAAAATCCGACCACTTGTTGGCGCAACAAGTATATTTATTCAGGTTCAGCAAATAAACGCCGATACAATTACAGCGTGTTTTCGTTGTTTGTTAAATGTTTACGACAGAACTTCTGTCGGGGAGTATTTGCCAAACGTTACTTCTATCCAATAATCTTGACGAGTGCGCTTGATTTGATGTAAAATTCTTGACTATGTGATCACTTATAACACAGAGATCAAGAAACACGGAATATAAGCTCTTGACGAGCTTTCTTCGTTACTTCCTAGTCTCATCAGTTTTCATTTCGTTTGCTTCAACGTCACTATTTGAAAATCGACTGAGAATCGCTTTAAGGCTTTAAGTTAATTGCTTTAAAGTCCATAGTGCTAAATTTTCAGTGACGATATTAAAGGATCGCTACAAAAGTTTATTATTTACTGAAAAAATGCTTTTCTATATATAACTTTATTTTATTATTTGAGAAATAAATTAATTTAATTTTGAGCGAAATTAAAACAAATAAATATTACAAGCAAATATTAAAACAGATATAATATTATATTACAAACACGAAGATATTTTTTAGTTTTTATTTTTCATATTGCTTTATATATCTAACGCTTTATTTATACGTCAGTTGAACTAATAGAAATATGCAATGGAAAATGGTTTATAAATATTTAAATATGTTCACACAAATGTACATATATTGCAAGTATTACCATAAATTATAAATTTTCTATAACTACATTTGTTTTTCAAATAAAATAGTCATTAATTCTGAGATGTTTGAATAATGTCTCTATATTGTAGTCCTTAATATCACAGTAATTTTTCATTAAAATTCTAAATGTAGTCTAGAAGAAATTAAAAATAGAAAATTAAAAATAGAAGTTAAAAATAGGACATTAATCTCAAAGAATATGTATGAAAAACATCATCTTAGTTATCGAACATCTCAGCTACCGAATAATCAATCATCTTCGAATTTTGCAGATGAGTAAATAATATTTCCATCAATGTGCAGCTAAAATTTAAAAAGGTTCCCATGAAAATATTTTGACGGATCAACAATCAATTTAAATAAAAAAAAAATTAGATCGACGTTAAACGTTAAATGTGTGGCTTTCCACCTTCTTTTGAACAATCATCTTTTAACACGAAGATACACACATAATGTGTGTCTTCGATAATAATAATAAAAAAAAAAAGTACAAATACGTACGAAAATTTTAATTACACAATTGCCGGTGGAGGAAAGCGTTTGATCTCGTGCACACGTTGTACGTCAAACTACACTATGTACCCTACGCACAAGCGTGCACCCCGCCAAAACGTCAATTCATTAGCAGTTCCGCAGCAGCGACAGTTCCGCGGTATTAAGGAAAGCGTACACCGGCGGCTCGTTATTGCACTTGCAGTCGCAGCGCACTATCTGACCTAATATCGAGCCAATGCGAGCTCCGTCGCGACGGAATTGCCTTCGAAATACCAGAGCAGCCGGTATGGCATCGTTATACCTGCATTAAAGCTCGTACTTTCTCGCGAGTGTGTTTCGCGACGAAACGACGAGCGCCGACGCGCCTTCGCGCTTCCGCTTTCTCTCTCGTTACATTGTAACCTAACGAGCGTGCGACCCTGTCAAGTGCGTAACACGTCCCCCCCCNCCTCCTCCCCACGACTCCCGCTGACGGATTTCATCGAAAGGGGCCGAAATTCGCGGAGAGTCCTTTGACACGTGCGCGAGCGTAGGCGCGGGCAAGCGCTGCGCCGCGGCATGTCGCGCCGCCGGCGCGCGCGATTCCTTCCCGGAGCGCTCCGATGCGCCTTCAGTCGCGTTCCGCGCGTCGTACGAGTGAGTGTGTGCTCTCGCTCGATTTCCATTCCGCCACCACATCGAAACCCTCCCTCTCTCTTTCTCTCTCTCCCTGCGCCTAGCCTGTTCTCTCCGCTCCCCCGGAACGTTAATTCCGTCGCACTGCTCTGAAATTTATACCGCCCCCCCCCTTCTCCTTCTCTCCCCCTCCCGCGTGTCACACAGCGTGAATGAAAGTTCGAAGGCGAAGGGACGAGACGCGAGATAAAGAAATGAGGCGCGCCGCCGAGTAGACATTTTCCGGCAGCAGGCCGCCTTGTTGAAACGTCACAGAAAAGGGCGGAATTGTCGATTTTCAGGGGAAACCAGCCGGTTCGCGATCCGGGCACCGCCGACGGCCGTATGATCGCGCGGCGATCGACGAGTCGCGAGAGAGCGGGTACGATCGCGTCGATCGGCCGGCCAATCGCCCCGCGTCTCACGTTTCGCGCCGACGGACAGTGTTCTCGCGGTGGTGTTCGAGGGTAGACGCGGTCGCGTCGGACACGCTCGTATGGGACGACGTGTATGACGTGGTGAATTCCGCCGGGCGTGAAATCGCGACACGGAAGGAGCCGCACGCGATAGCGCTCCCGCTGATGATCCCCGTGTGGACTCTCTCGCTTTTAAATAGACCCGCTACTTGGAGGGTGGTAGCTTGTGTAACCTGTTGCGGAATGCGATATCGGGAGGCCGTTAATGCCCTGTGTGAGAAAGAGAGAGAGAGAGAGGATCGTTCCTCCGCACCGCCGCTTCACGTAAGGCTTGCACCTCTCACCTCGCGTCTTCCTTCACGGTGCCTGCGCCTTCGCTGTTAACGATTAACGATTTTCCGGGTGTAACGAGTAAAATAAGTACATTAACCCTCGATAGCGTGGTCGACACTGATGCCGTTGTCGCGGAGGGACCCTCGAGTGTTCGGAGCGGGCGAGGTTTTAACCCTCTTGACTGCCGATGACGAGAATTCCCCGTCATTTCGGGCCTTGCGTTCGCTGCCGCGAAAATGCGTTTTCTCGTCTGTAAAATATTTCATATTATATTAAAGCCCCTAAGTGATTTAACCATTCAAGCAAACTGTAACTAGAGGGTTTCGGCTGTGCTAAGCACGGTTTTTGAAGTCTGACTTGCGAAATGTTGTCTCGGAAAGAAGTATGGCTGTGAGAAATATGAGAATTTTTCGAATTTTCGAATATTCTCGTTATGAGATATTTTATCATATTAAATTTTTTAATGAACCAAGAATTGAAACGAGATACATTTCGGAGTTTTCGAGTGTGCTGGATATGATTTTGAAGAATTCGCGAAATATTGATTCAGGAAAAGGATATCGCTAGAGAAATAAGAATTTGTCGGATTTTCGAATATTCTCATAAGAGATTTTCATCGTATCAAAGTTTCACAATGTATTAAATATAATATTTAGTTAGTTTAAGAAACTTCTACATTTGTCGGGAACTGAAGTCAAATTTCAATTAAAACTTGCTATATTAGCCACTAGTTTGAATTTATGACAAAACGTTTTTTTTTTACTTGAAACTCATCATTGGCATCGTCAAAACCCCTCCTGCGTAAAGTTTCATTAATTTTCGAGAACCTTTTGTTGTTGGTACTTTAGACCCAGTCGAGGAAAATGGGGTGGCAGTGAAAGGATTAATTGTCGCGATGCTTCGTTCGAGAGAAGCTCTAACTCGTCTAGTTGTGAACTCGTTCGTCTTGTTTGTCTCACGGTTGAATTCATTAAAAAATAGCACGATCACGACCATAATTACATAGCGATAACTTATACGTAATTGAAGAGGTTGAGTAAATCATTTTGACATTGACAGTAATAATATGTAACGGCGTGTCGAGCGTGCGTGAAAGTCATAGCGAGGCTGAGAGATTAATTACACGGAAGTGTTCAATTTCCATTTTATTCGTTAATTTTTTAGCTTTTATCATTAGATTTTATATTTCTTTAACGGATTTACACATAAAACGACGACTGAGACGCTTTTTGCGCCGAATTTATCTGAAAGAAATTCCGGAAAATGGGAGTTGATTAATTTCTGAGAGTTACGTTTGTATACGCGATTCAATGACCTCGATGAAATTCGTAGGAACCGCATAGGAAGTCGTGGTTTTTTTTTTATTGTTCGTATTCTGTTTCTACTCTGAATTTATCATTGATCTCTCAGAATGTCGGTGACAAATTTCGAGGCATTTCGAAGCCGACCGTAAATCCAGATCCCAAACAAAAGACGAATAATCCGTGGCGAACAATTTGATTTTAAAGTCTGCGCGTTGTCCAAGTTTTCCTTGTCGGAGTTTATTTCCCCGAATAAAACGGATATACATGTACACTGGTTTTTCTCTATCGTGCCTGTGTTTGCAGCCGTACGATAATTTCACGCACAAGTGTGCTCTCGACAGTGGAATAAAAACGCGGATACGAAAATATTTTCTTCCCATTTCCCCGCACTCGTTTTATATTTATTCACAGGGAAATGCCTTCTTAGTTTTTCTCGACAGCGGAAATGGTTCCATCTCACTTTTGGATTTGTATACTTCAGTTCCTACTGAAAACACGAAAATCGAAACGCGACGAACGAGCGAAATGAAATTTACCTAAATCGCCCCGACACTAACGACCGCGTTGCACAATTAGTCCTTAGCCCTCGACATCATGTTTTTCTTTGAACACGCAGATCCATTATATCATAAGTTACGCGGTCCGGTAAGACATGGGAGAGATCAAAGGAAAGCCATTCATCGACGCGATTATCTTTTTAGAATCAGCAACTCGTAACACTTCGTAACATATGTAACATCTTTTACATGCGGCAAATAGAAGAGGCCGAGGCATGCCTAACAGGCCAAGCTACATTTCGATATCCGATATCTCAAAGAAGCTTCGCCGAATTTTCCACTTCTCTCGTTAATAGATCGTCTAACTAAAAGCTGTAACACGATGAAGATTGCTATTACGCTGACGGTAGTGTTAGAAGATAGAATGCAATAAGTGGGACTCCTTTATCACCCGATATTCGCCACTTTTTAGCGTAGTCGACGAGGAACACGATGTAGCTTTCACCCTTGCAAGGCGTGATTCTTCTTATAACTTTCTCTCGAATAATTTTATGCTATACGTGAAATTACAATATGAGAGGAATAAGAGGAATCTTTATGTCTTTTAACCTTTCGACTGCATATTTCTGAAAAGTCGTTCGCAAACAGGACCATACCGATTCTCTAAAACTGTCTAAATTCCGTATCTGTAAAGCTACGAGAGGAAAGAGATTGAGAAAATTCTAGAATAAAGTGTAATTCTTTTATTTCAAGGCTTGATCATGCATTCAGAGAAAATCAAGTTTTAACTGACTGCATTCTATGGTCGAGACGTTCCAGTTTTATTGTACATGCATTAAATACTTTTATTTATTATTAATACGTCTAACAACTACATCTACAACTGCATTTCGTTCGCTCTTACTGCCGTGTTTACTGTAATTTGATTATCTCAGAGCTATTTGGCAGATTTTTTAAACAAGTTTTAAATTATTGAACAAAATATGAATTTAGACAGTGGTCTCGCGAATGGTAGTGTTTTACTTAAAAAAATCGTAATATCCTTATTTTTTTACTATTTTGATCTGCAACTGTAGGACGATAAAGTTGAAAAGTAGTTGTAACAGGAAAAATATGACTTTATTGCGCATTCGTAAAACATAATTTTTCAGACTACCGAAAATAGGGTGTTCTAAAGTATCGAAAAAGAGATATTTTTACGGGAAAAAAATACCTTTGTTGTGAAAGTATCAAAAAGAGTTTATTTTTTACTTGCAAAATGATAATATGCATTGCTTGAAAAAATAATAAATTTTTTAGGATCACGTTTTGTAGAACGCTCTCGCGTAAGTTACACACCATCTAACCTATCTAATATAACGTTATTATTATTTATTATTTTCAAAAATGCACGCGTAATCACAATGCTTACTTACATTCACACACAAATTTTTAGCAAGAAGAATCACTTCACTTGTGGCGTCAAATTCGGGTGGCTCCATATTAATCAGTTTATCGGATTCGCGCCACGTCTAACAGACAGAGACCGACTTTTTCACGATTTTTCGGCATTGGGAAGAATTTGTAGAACACGGCACCTTTCTGTAGCTCATCAAACATAACTCACCCGGTCTACCTGACTCATAACGCGGTCGAAGGGTTAAAAAGAAAAAGTTTATATTTTCTTCAATGTTCAGTATCTCTCCGAGCGAGGTATGTAACGTTTATGTTGCAACATGCGAGGCCGAGTCGAGCTCTTGTGCGCAAATAAACAAATCGAAATAAATCGTCGGACACGGAGGAGTGTTGGTAACTTCAAGTGGAATAAAGCGATTGTTTCAACGAACCCCCCCCGCGAAAAATATTGGCCGCGCGGATTCTGCGAGAGATGTTACGACTGCTCCTGAAAATTCGCTGTCACTATCAGACGCGTCCGGGTATTCACGGCGCGCTCACAACGGCCACACGGCGTCACGGGATTTCCATTCTTTTTCCGACGAAAATACCGCCGTGAGCGGACAATCTTGTTGAAAAATAAGTTACTTCTGCGCAAAAGAAATATTCCCCCCTGTCCCTTTCTCTACGTATTTTCGCTCTTTTGAAGCAGAGCCGCGCGCGATAAAATATTGCGGCGGGAACTTCGGAGAGTGCCAGTAATCCCGCGACCCCATGAACGGATAATCCTGTTGCACGTAAATCGATCCGCGCGGCTACAGCGCGGAGCGCGAATACCACGAATCGGGCCGAGTCATCGGCTAATCCGGTTTGTTATCGGGATATTTCGATTGAAATCTACATCTATACACACACACACATATATATATATATCGTTGCCATTGATTAATCGTCTCGTCGAGTTGACAATTTTTCTCCAGCTACCTTGCGCCTGATGTCGAAGGAAAAGGTGCAGTTTGCCGTAAACCTTCCAGCGGTTGACGTCGATTTACGCGCGGGGTGAGTTTATCGCGCCGAGTTTTCCCGATTGATTCCAGCATCCAGTTTTCTCGTCCATTCTTTTAAACGACGAAGCTCGTAATTTTCTCGGAAAGCCAGCGAACGAAGCTTGCGTTACGACACGCGCGGTCGTTGATTGAAGTCCGTAATTCGACCGCAACCGTTCGATCGCGTAGATTTTTTATTACATAGAAAGTAAGGGGAGGTTGAATGAAAAATTGCCCAAAGAATGCGTGGCGATTATCAAGGTAGTCGATCCGTGAATTAATTTTCACAGGGATCTTTTCAGAGTTTAACAGCATATCAATTGAAACACGATCTGCACGCGTATAAAATTAGAAAAAAAAATCGTCTGAGCTAAAGCTGAGGTAATTGAAATTAAAGTTAGTATTATTTATCTGCATCACAGGTGCGAAAACGGCTCCTGATATCGCGGTTTTAGTGAAGAGCGAAAAGAAGATGACAAAAGAGGCTTCTGGGAATATTATAAAAAAAAATTACAAGATCGTTCACTAGTTTTTCGGTGTTTATCTAGTTTCTCAGAAACATTTGTGTAAAATAAATCATTTCTGATAATAGTTGAAATATATGACAGTTAACTTGTAAAGATTTGGCAAATATTGTACGTGCTATACTTCGCTCTGTGTCTTGATTGGACATTTTTTTTTAAAGATAGAATGATTAAATAACCTTAAAGATCTATAATCAATACGTAAAAATGCGAGAAATATATAGAAAAATATGGAAAAATCCGACG